TCGTGGCAGCGTCTTTGATCAGTGTTGTCTTTGTTGGGGCTGTGAGTTTGGGCAGACAGCCGTGTCTTGGTAGATTTGCAAGTGTGCCCTATTCTTTCCATTCATGATGCTGTTTAGTGACCATAGCTCTGCAGCCCTCACAGAACAGCTGTAATTTTACTGAGAGTTGATACACACAGATGGGCTCTGTGTGTATCTACTCTTGGGATCTAATTGTTGGGCATCCGACATCATTAGGAATGTGCTAACAGCAATGTAATGCACTCAGAAAAATGCAGTATGAATACTCACATGCCCCACTTTTCTACTTTTATAATAATAACATAATCATGTATCATTTTTGCTTTCACTTCAGTTATCCTGTTACTTGTGGGTGAAAATTAGAAAAAACATTCTGTTTATGGTTGAACAAAGGACAAAATGTGCAAAAGTTCAAGGTGTATTAATACTTTCAAAAGGTATTGCATTCTTGAACATAAATAACATTTCTAATTGAACCCACAGTATGTCTGCAGTGTAGCGGCACAGACAGCAGACATGTAAATCTTTGCAGAAAACTTCCAGCTCCGTGTCCCTGCACCCAGCGGAGTCGGGATTGGAAATGTCATTTTAAAACGTGAAAACAAAACACAGCCGTTGTGGCAGAAGTCTGTTACTCTGGGGGCACTTTGGAACTCGTCATTACTGACCAGTCACCGGCCAGTCACCGGCCAGTCACCGGCCAGTCACCGGCCAAAACCACACTTTTCAAATGGAATTCTCACATGTCTGGGAAAGTGAGAGGAGAAACCGCTCTCACCCTCAAGTTTACATTCATGATGTTCAAAAATATATATAAGATGAAAATACATCACATCAGTGCCTTCTTTCACTGCAAAAAATAAAATCTGTGAGAAAACAGAGTTGTAAATGGAATATGTCTTAATAAAGAGGAGTTTGAACCACATTTACTGTTATTTAAAGCAAGACTTAGATAAATTAGCATTTTTGAGTATGAAGTAAGCAGTATAATATAATTCAGATCACATTTTCCAATTTAACAATAGAAATGAGTGACAATGAGAAATGCTACTGCGCTTGCAATAAGACTGTTTATTGTATCGGAGAAAGCATATCTTTCCACAGCTACAATTGATTAATTTGAGAAAAATACAGCTTAGTTCAATCAACCTAAAAAAAACTAAAACAAAACAAACTTATGTAGTGACAGGATTTCATATATTTTTGGAGTCTTGTTAAAGGTGTTTTAACTGATTTTTTTACGCCACTGGAAAGTAGATGTCTGTGGTATTTAACAATATATTATTATAACATATTTATTATATGTTTGAAGAGAGAATCACCATGGCAACCAGATGGTAGTGTATAGTTAGAACAATACTTGTAGTTGCATTCAAATGGATAAACTGTTTTATTATTTATTATGTTTTGATGGGGCGTGTGTTTGTCCATCAGTTAGCAAGATTCATCAAAAAGTTATGGCCGGAATAAAATATTTTGTATTTAGTTAGGATTATCATCTCATCCAGGATATGTTTTAAAGAATGGAACTATCAGTGATTTTTTAGTTCCTTTCGGAAATTCTGAAGTTTTCACCTCCACCACTGCAGCTGAAAAAAATATTCCCTGGTAACTATGGAGACTGTCAAAAGTTATATTTTAGTTTTAGTTTAGAAGAATTTCTCTGTTAATCCTGGGCCAACCAACCAAATTTCCTGATCAAAGAACTTTCAGGCAATTCTCTTTCATATTTACCACTTTTAAATCCACATTTTCATCTTTTTTTGGGCCCTCACAGAGAAGTTTTATCTAAAAACTATTATTATCATTTAGAGCTTGTTTTAGACCTGGACACATACTAGTCATCCCATTTGTGGATATACAGTATGTCTGAGATCCACTGTTGCACTCCTTTTAGACCTGCTACAACATATAGGAATCAAAAATGGGTTATGGAAAATGCTGTTTGGGACTAACATAAATAATTCTGCATAAAGTTTAGACAAATTCTGTGTTTTTTAAAGCTTAAAATCAACAATGACAGACCTCGAGTTCTTCGCATTATTATGGCACACATATAATTAAGTTTAATAATCTGTTTTTTAATCTGTAGCACTTTGAGGTTTCCTGTAAAAATAAGGTAAATATAGATACAATTTATTATTATTATGTATATTTTTATCATTATTTTTCCTTGCCAATGATAACTGAGCCCATGTTCTCTCTCGTAACTTTTTTCAGCTGTGTTCAAACCACTCCCTTCAAGATAACATTCCAATCTTACAGCATATTTAACTCATGTAGAATTATTTTTTTCAGTGTTCGACCAAAAGTTATTGAGTTGTCCTGAAATGGTGTCTGCTCTGTTTGGTGTGAATTCTTCGTCTTTTCTCCTCACTTATTTTACACACAGCAGCACCCACGGGACCCACCCGCGCTCTGTTTGCTTATGATGCACTTATTATAAATATAGAGGAGTAGAAAATGACATTGGGTCGGTCTGGGTGGGCCTGACACCGCAAAAACAAGGAATATCAATGGGAACGAGCTGAAGCTTTTGTGTTAGTTTGAGTAGTTTGGAGTTTATAGCAAATAATATTGTCTCAAAGAATAAAGTTACTAATAGAAGTCAAGGGAGGCAGATTTTTAACTTAAACAAAGAGCATAGTAATCTTTTAAGTTGCAGAGTTTTTAAGATATTCAGATATTTCACTGACAAAATTTGGGACCCAGAACCTTTAGAAGAGAAAGAGTACTAACAAAATCTATTTTTGGATTTTTATCATCACGGCCAGGGGACTACTGATGAAAAAGGGCCTCCTTGGCTAATTCTGGCTTTTTAAAATCATGTTTATTTATGTGTTTTATTAAATTGTATTATCCCCTTTGAAATAAAATAAACTGAATTAGAGAAATACATAATATTAGGATTTGGGGAAACGTTTGAGTGAAGCCAAGTCGCTGTATAGAAAGTGTCCTGGATTTAGAAGGCCATGGTCTGCTACTTTGGCTGTAAAAGAGCTATAGTTTAACAATATGTACTTCTCAATATTGTTCATATGCTTTGGATAATGACCTAGCCTAAACTAGGAGGTCCAATGAGATCCTTCTGGGCCATGTGCATCCTTAGTGTGTGGAGCTCGGAGTACAGCCGCTGTTCCTCCACATTGTGTTTCCCTGGGGCCTCAGAGAAGACCCAGGACACGCTGCAGGGACCATGTCTCTCAGCTGACCTGGCAACACCTCAAGATTGCCCTGGATGAGCTGGAGTGTGGTGGAATGGATGGCAGCTTTACCAATGAACTAAAATATAACACATACAGAATTATTTACGTCTTCTTTATGTCCTCTAACTTTAGACTCAAAACTCCTCAAAGGAAAAGGTCGTTGTCAATTCCGTATAGATATTCTTTTGTTTTTGCGGTGTGGGAGTACATGCTTATATTGAATTATATTTAAAAAAAACGGCTTTCTATGTGGAGACCCTTGAACTGCATGTTGTGCTTCCTGTAATCCAACGTAAAACATTTATCATAAACCTTTTTGAATAGAGTTTTTCTTTGACATTTACAAGTTATACAGTTGTACCAAATGGATCATGGGCCGTACGCTTCCGCCCGCAGCCTCGCGATGCAAAGAGGGAGACGACAAGAAGAGGGAAAAGGAAGTCATTTTCAACGCAAAATAAAGATATAATAAACAAGACACTAGTCCTCCAAAACATCGGCATAACCAACGATGATGAAGAATCGCTTCATTTGCTCTTTTACACAGTACTTTTTTTTTTTTATAAACGCCCGCTGGTTAAGGTTATGGTCTCAGGTAGATAGTCCTCTTTCAGTCTTCACAGTTCGTATAAAGCAGAGAAACATTCCTGCTAGTGTAATAAAATATCAGAGCTATTATTAACATTATTATTCTTCATATTTTTTTGTTGTAATACTTGTTCCATAGAAATAGATTGAAGGGTGGGGACATGTTACAATGTTTTCAGAGGTGGTTCAGTTTAAAAAAATGCTTGCCCACGTTAGAAGAGTAGCGTCAAAGCGGGCCGTTTTCGCCCATGTCGTCCCGTCCATTGCAGACAAATTATCATCCAAATCGCTTATGCCGTTTTTGCCCCTTTTCTCCTGTTTCGCGTGTTTGCTGGCCTTCGAGTAAACTTTAAGAGCCCATAAATCCGTTTGCGCCGATTCATTGGGCGAAAGAAAGAATTAGAAAAGTAGCCCCATTTGGAGGAAAGATGTGTCGGTAGGTGGTGGTTGACAGCCAGGCTCAAACTCAGTATAATCTGAAGGCACTTTGTTTCATGGCAGAAAGTAAAGTGGCTTCTTCCCAGCGAATCCCCAACCTCGAGGCGATCGATCGTACTCCTCAACCTCCTTCGCTTTTGGCCCGAAACGTTTTGCTTAATCCAAGTTTGAGGCGCGTTTCGTTCGTTTCTCGACAATTTCGCAAAACCCTTCCGACGTCGCGCGTGGCCACTCGTGACACAGTGTTTTTTTTTTTTAGATAGACAAAGAGTTAGCAAGCGAAATGCAGCCGTGTTGTCCATCTCATATCCATCGAATAGCACCGACTGATTAAAAGAATTGAAGAATGGTTGGCGTATTGGCAAACTGAACATGAAAAAATATGCAAAAGATGCTCAATGTTTGCGAGAATATCTCCGAAAAGGCAGCCGCTGTCGTGTCCTTATGCCCGGAGCGTCATAAAAGAGTTGTGCTTTACAAACGGCCCGTCCGCAACTTTTTCCGCGTTGTGCTCCTGAACGCCTCCAAGTCTGTTTTTTCCTGTAAAAACTACAAAATTAACCAGTTTTTTTACTTTTCATTATTACTTTGTATTGCCCGTCCTTTGCGGTGTTGTAGATCCATTGCCCTCGGTTCTGAAGTGAGTTCTTAATGCGTTGGTTCTTTGGTGAATTCGATGCCGGTCTCGCGGACGGTTTTGCCTTTCCGTGGAGTTTTTTATTTTTTCTTTGCTTACAGGAAGCCGGGTCACCTCTGGCCTTGTAGGAGGGTGATCACCGCGGCGACGCACAGCAGCCATATATGGGAGGATGGGGGTGGAGCCGAGGAGCTTAAATCTGAGGGAAGAGAGAGGTGACATTTACACAACCGGACTTCAAACTTGTTGTTTGTTAAGACTAGTAACAGTAGGAGTTGTAGTAGCAACAGACATCTTTAGAAGTAGAATCTATAGTAGTCAGAGTAGTAGTAACAGTAGTAGTAGTAGTAGAAGCAGCGGCAGCAGTAGTGGTAGTAGTAGTAGTCCCAGTAGTAATAGTAGCATTAGCAGTAAAAGTAGTAGTAGTACCATTTAGTAGAAGTAGTAGTAGTGGTAGTAGTGGTAGTAGTAGTAGTAGTGGTGGTGGTAGTAGCAGAAGCAACATTGGCTGTAAAAGTAGTAGTAGTAGTTGAAACAGCAATAGTAATTGGCAGTAAAAGTAGTAGAAGTCGTTGTAAATTAGTATAAAGTAGTATAGAAGTTGTAATAAAATGGAATTCACATGTAGAATTTGTATATTAGAAGCAAAGTAAAAGTCGTATTAGTACTATAAGTTGGTGCGAGTGATGATGAGGCAGCAGTTGTAGTAGTAGTTGAGGTGGGGAGTAGCATAGTCCCACAAATTCTCTTTTCATAGGTATGCATATCCAAAGTATCTTCCACCTTGTCTGCAGTAGTAATATCAGTAGCAACAGTAACACCAGCAGCCATAAAAGCAGTTGCATTATAGCTGTAGTAGTAGTCATGACAACAGCCGTAGCAGTAGTAGTAGCAGCTGTGTGCATACATTGTATCCTACAATGGCCCGGACGTCTCTATAAGTCCTTATCTTTGTGTCACCTCCAAATTGGCTGCTGTAGTGGTAGTAATAAAAGACGGAGCGTGTTTGCTATGTCGTACATGTCCGTACAAAAGCACCCGTGTCTCTGTAGTGTTTTATCTGCGGGCCAAAGTCACCTCCACCTTGGCTGCATGTGCTCAGAGTCCGGCGAGACATTACTCATTTTGTCCTTACATCACAGAGCCATGTAAGATTCATCATGTGAGATTGGACTGCATAATTCATGGGTCTGTCCCGGGCCTGCAGACCACCCCCATAAAAAGAGCTTCAGTATCTGCGCGATTTATATCTCAATAAAGTCACGTAAATAATCCCTGTTGATAATACAGAGATACAATGTTATGTTGAAAGCATAGACTGTGCATAGACTGTGTACAGTGCAAGATGTGTATATACAAGGTGATGCTAGTTGTAGGCTGGACTGATATATTTAAGCTGCTTCAGTCATGGTTTGGATCTGATCTAGTTCAAAACAAGTCCAGATTATTCATAGTTTTAGTCATATGTATCCTGGGCTCCTCTTTCTTACATCTGTCATTTTTTTTTTTTTAACTGCGCTTCACTTCTGGCTAGCTCGCCACATGCAACAAATATCAAGATGTGACTTTGATACCGGATACATTGTGAAGTCCTGTTCTTGTCCAGGATTTGGTCATGTTTGTAAAGCGGCACTTTGAAACCGCACAATGTCAAATGTTTGGATCTATAAAGTGTACAACCTTGCGTAAAAATGGACCGTACACATAACACAAGGCTGGTGATTGGTTGGCTGATCATTGTTTATAGTTTACTTTAATCAGCAAAACATCTTGGTGAGTCAGTAAAAAGCCGTATAAAGTTTCTTGAAGCGCAACCGCAAAACCTTTACAGAGTTTTATACTGTCGAGAAATGAACGGTCGACATGTTCTGTTCAGTTTTATCCTCCCAGTCCCTGCTCTTAGCTCCTCTTGTCATGTGATCACCACCCTGTTGCTATGGAGACGTCTGCTTTATTTGCTTTCTTCTGATTACTGTCTTTAGCAGCAGCTCACATTGGACACAGACAGAGAAGAGGCTGTTGAACTTGTTGGCATCTGGACCATGTGTTTTAAATCGAGACATAGTACCAGCAGCAGTAATAGTAGTAATATTAGTAGTAGTATTCAGAGGTAGTAGTAGTTGTAGTAGAAAGAGGAGTAGTAGTAGTTATGTGAGTAGTAGTACTGACTAGGCGGTGGGTCTCGACATTCTCCTTCCTCCAGCGTCACGTCGTCGATGGCGATGTCGCCCTCGATGCCTGGGCCCCGAACCCCCTCCAGCACAACCTGCACACACACACACACACACACACACACACACACACACACACACACACACACACACACACACACACACACACACACACACACACACACACACACACACACACACACACACACACACACACACACACACACACACAAAAACACCACAATCAATCAATCAATTTTATTTATAGAGCCCGTTACAACACTCAAGGCAACCAAAGTGCTTTACAATAAAATTACATAAAATCCATTAAAACGTGTATGCATTAAAACAATAAAACAGTTAAAAAGCATTCAAATCACTAAGGTACACAAAACTCACATTTCTATTTCAACTAATTTCTTTTCAAAAACCTTGGATAACTTTGTTGTGGTTTTTGAAAGTTTTGATTTTCACTTCTGTTGGCGTCCTCCGGTGACTCGGGGCCAAAACAAGTGAGATCATGTTTTTGAAATAGATCTTTTGACCAATCAGCCGGCCTACTAAACACAGAATACTCTTAGGGAAGTATTTAGAAATTCACAATCCAGTTTATACCCACGCATTTTTTTGAAAAAGAAGTCTAGATCCAGCCCTAGAGTAACACTATCACCGGAAGTGACACGCACAGACAAGAAAAATCCACTTCATGAATGGAGCTTGTCTTTCGGTAAATCCACTTAAAATATACTGCTTTTCAAAGTTTGTGTGTGTGCTGTAGTAAAAGTCAAATCAATTCTGCCTTGTTCAGTACAAGGCCGAATTTATTTGATATTATTCATCTCATCCCCTCCATTCAAAACGGTTACCTGCTGCCCATTGAAATCTGGCCTCATTATTCACAAACACTGCAGCTCGGAGACAAATGGAATAAATACACGGCCATTTAACTTAATCGTCTGTTTTAAAAGCAGCAGGTGGTACGGCTTTATTTCTTTTTTAATGCAGCGGAATTTAAGATGCTGTCCGCCTATAGACTCTGAGCTGCGGAGCCTAATTACTTTGCAAACACTGGAGCCGTAAGAATGATGGAGACCGCCGCTATGGTATATTTGCTATTAGCTTCCTGTTGGTAAAACGACTCCAATTGAACAATGGACACAAGACACGAATATATGTCGTTGCAACACATTTAAGCGCCTCCAAACTAAATCAAGCCAAAAGCATTCTAATACAGACAAATAAAAGGCCAAAGTCGTTGAAAAACTGTCAACCGAGCTATCAATTATTCATTCACCGATATATTGGGCTGTTGTTTTCTTATTCCAATTCAGGCACTAAAAATAAGCAGCGGTTGCCTGTTTGTGACCTGGAGGACAATAACTGATGAATACAGCACTGCTTTTTAATATCAGTTTTATGTTTTTCTTTGCCCAAGTGGGACTGCTTTTATTACAATTGTGCTTTTTTGCTTAATATAGTCACTTTTTTTTCTTTATTGTTCTTTATTGTTCCCAAATTGTTTCCAACATTTGGAAAAAACACATTATATTTTTTCCAAATGTTGTTCATTTTAATATCATTTTTTTTAATACTATAACAGTGAATTCTCCTTAAATATGAGTTCATGTTGATAGATATTTGGGGAAAGTGTATATCCGTAGATCCATTTTCCTTTGTTCTATTTGAGGATTTATTGAACCTTTCACTTGTTATGTGTGAAGAGTGTGAGAGAACAAAAACGGAAGCTACAGTCCTGGATCTACAGCCTCAATCCTGGGTCTAAAGTCTCAGTCCTGGATCTACAGCCTCAGTCCAGGGTCTACAACCTTAATCCTGGATCTAGAGCCTCAGTCTTGGATCTACAGCCTCAGTCCTGGGTCTACAGCCTCAGTCCTGGATCTCAGTCTTGGGTCTACATCCTCAGTCCCGGATCTACAGCCTCAGTTCTGGATCTACAGTCTCAATCCTGGATCTACAGACTCAGTCCTGGATCTACAGCCTCAGTCTTGGATCTACAGCCTCAGTCCTGGATCTACAGACTCAGTCCTGGATCTACAGCTTCAGCCCTCCATTTGAAAGAAAGTACCAGCTATTTCTTTAATGGAGACAAACATTGATATTTTCTCCACATGTTTACAGCCTAAAACAAAAGCATGTGAGAGAGCTTATTGAGCTGTCTAGTACGCATTGGTCTCGTGGGTAGATCAAGAGATTTGAATCTACACTCAAAAAACACAAAAGGCCAAAGCAAATACTCAATATTAAACACACATTTCTAATCATTGGTAATCCTCGTCCTTGACACATTTCCTGTTTAAAGTGTGGCAAAGGTTGAACTGAGACTCACCTGGAAGGAGGAGAGCGGGTGGATGCTGACTTTGGCCTGTTTCCAGCGGTCGCCTTGGTTACCGGTGAGGGACCACACAGGGGTGTCACTGGTGGTCTGGCCCTTCTGCTTCAGGAAGGCGTTCAGGGTCCCTTCAGACAGCAAGGGAGGAGACAAGATGTGTGAAAAGTGTGTGAGAGGTTTAAACAGTGAGGAGTCAAAAACCAAAACCAAAATTGATAAAAAAAAAACAAAAAAACTCAATGTATGTTTTCAACAGTACATATTGATATAATATGGTACAATTCGGAGTAAAAACGAGACAAGAGTGGAAAAAGGTTGGCCTCATGTCTGGTTTTCACCACAAGTTATCTAAGTTCTAAGTCACAGCCCCCCCGTCTGCACTAGGACCCCAGGGAATTACAATATCATTCACATGGATCAAAATAATAATTTCAAATCCTAATTATTAAAGGAACAACTTTATAAAGGAAAGAGCAGCCCATGCAATGGCCCAAACTTTGAATATAATAACTAAATAAGACTATAATAACTGTATTGTCATACTAGAAGTTAGATTTCCATATATTTTAGTCCATTAAGGTCAAAATTCAGTGCAAATGGACAGTAAGAGCTTTACTCTCGTTGCACGGCTTGTTCCCTGTGACACATCTCCTAAGCACTGGTTACCGATTCATTCCACCCAGATTCAACTGTTTAGGCTAGAAACAGTAAAAGATCTGTGTGTGGAAAATGAGGGCCTCATTCTGCTCTCTGATTGGATGATCTGCTTGAAAAAAAATCATTATCTTAAAAAATATATTAATGTAAACATAAATAATATAGACATCCCGTAGATTGTTTAAAAAAAAAAAATTATTGAGCAACTATACACTTTGCACTATATATGGGGATATTTTGAAAGATCGATAATGTAGTATTTACAGAGAGCTAAGGAATGTAGCTAGCTGTGATCTCTTACTACTGTCCTGTATGTGCGCTGCAACATTGAAATGTACCCACTGTGGGACGAATAAAGAATGTCTTATCTTATATCTTTACTTTAAACTTCAGAAAAAGGTCAAATATGTTTTGTAAATCTTGACCTATTATCCAGTGACACATCATTTAACAACAAAAAAAATGTACATGTGGTCCCTTTAAGAAACGGCCGCTTTAGGGGTTTTGGAAGAAAGTCCTGTGTTTTTTTGCTCAGTGGAAATGAGGCTAATACATGAGCAGGAAAACAAAGCTTCAAAGCTCTCTGCAATATGCCATCTTTAACCCACGTTCACCGCGCACACACATTAGATAGGAAAGGCCCCATGTGAACTGTAATCCGTATATATTTGTGTGAACCCTGTGCCTCGCGTCCAACTGGGTCATCTGCGTCTGTGCGGTAAACACTCAGCACCTTTAGGAGCCATCAGAGCGTGAAGGCAAAAGGCAGGGGCCACGCCGGCATTTCACAGCCCATCACAACTTTCAATTTGGCTTTATGCTCTACAAATCTGCCCCTCGTGTCCACTCCGCCGCCGGCAAACTTTGTCAATTTTCTATCCAGCAACTTGACAATGTTTGGAGATGGGGTGTAATAATGATAGGGCCTCTGCTTTTAGGGGAATACTGGGGACGTGCGGCTGTTTTCAAATGGCTTTCGGTGCGCTGCGTTTATTAAAAGGTGTATCGAACAAGAGATTGCGACAATGTTGAAGCTATGGGACATTGCTGTGAAAATGGTAGAGCTTTTAACACATAAACTTGTCATCTGTTGCTTGATTCAGGAGGAGTTTCTTTGGCAGTGGCATAATATATACGGTATTATCAAGAACCCTCTTCCCTCCATATAACATCCATCAATCAATCTACGTTTTTTTGTAGAGCGCCTTTCCTACACAAGGCAACACAAAGCACCTCACAACCCATATCACATCAGTAAATAGACATTAATTTAAAACAAACACATTTACATAAATATTAAAAGATACAATTAGAATCCCAAAGGGCATTAAAAACCACACAATGAGATCACAAGAAAATTAAAAAACGTAACAAATAAAATTGCACATGGGATTAAAATCATAAATAGTGCACCTGAAAAAAATAAATAAAAATTCAGTATGCACAGCTAAACAGAACCGCTTTTCACCTAGACTTAAAAACTAAGACGCCTGTCTCATATTCTCAGGAAGACTGTTCCAAATCCTAGCCGCACAAATCTGAAATGCAGTCTCCCCATTAATATTAACATAATTATTTTTTACTTTTCATATTGTCTCGCATTCAGTTTGTCCCATTATTTTAACAATACTTACTTTGGTCTTGTTTTAGAATGAGAAAAAGAAATATGTGGATAAATATGTTTAAACAAAGTTGTAAATATATTTATTGAAATAAAGTAATTTGGAGAGTAAAGCAATAGTAACATATTATTACAATTTTAATTAATACTTAATTCCATCCCAGCGTAACGACTTTGAAAACAGACCGTTGAGACAGAAGGGGAGAGGGGACATGTTTTGAGCAGAAGAGATGATTTTCCGTACCAATTTTTTGACAAATAGGCGACTTTCGTGTGCAGTGTTCAACAAAACATCTGCTCACAATATTGAAACATGGGACCACATTCTCACACACTGCACAAGGGTTAAAAATAACACATGTTAGAATCATTTTACTGACTAGATCTTTGGAAATTAAACTTTTCCCCCATCGCATCACATCAGCATCCATCCTTGCGCCGAGGACGGAGAATTTAACCCATGTCACGTGCAGTTTATTCTCCTTGGCCAGACAACGGTGAAAGAAGACCGTGTGTTTGTTGTGCATTCAATCAATCAACAACTTGAGTTCTCCCAAACGCACAATTCAGTTTGTGTGTCTCTGGAGTTGTGTGAGCTCGTTTGGTCATGTGTGCTCTAAAAGGTTTTCTTCTTTAAATGTTGTTTGTGTCCATGATTTTAAAGGAGAGAGCTGTGTTTAAACTAGGAGTTAAATACTAATCCAAACGAGGAGTTTTTCTCTGCATTTGACCATCCTTCACTGCCCCACTAGGACCTCCTTAGCAGTGGTTACTACAGTCAGGGACCAATAACCAGGTGTTGATTATTCATAAAGCGTATTTCATAGATCATCAGTGTGACCTTGGTGGTGCAGTGGTTAGTGGGCCTGGGTTTAATTCAACCTCCAGACTTTGTTGTGTGGAGTTTGCATGTTCTCCCTGTGTTTGTGTAGGTTTCCTCCGGGTGCTGCTGTTTCCTATACCACTAAAATGTAAGGACAATAGGTCTGGCATGTGTCTCCTGTACGACGACCTTGCTCCCATCTCAGAGTGGAGTGAGAGAAAAATGCCCACCACAATTGTAAAGCGCTTTGTGGCTCTGGGCTGTGAAAGGCGCTATATGATTAAAGATTACTCACTTACTACCACTAAGCACTTTACAATTTTTAGTGTAGCAGTAAATTCCTTTCGCTTCAAACATGGGGATGACAGAAGTGAGACGCCTTTGGAGCATATTTTGGGTGGTGGGGAAAACCGGAGCACCCAGAGGAAACCCACCTAGACACGGGGAAAACATGCAAACTCCACACAGAAAGGCTTGGGCCGACATGGGACCGAATCCATGCACTCAATCATTAGCGAGAAGGTCCTGGGTTCGAATCCCGTCGGAACAGGGTCTTTCCGAGTGGAGTTTCCATGTTCCTAGTGAGTAGGTTTCCTTCAGGTGCTCCAGTTTCTCTTATCACTAAAAGAGGTCAAATCCAACATCTATAGGGATGGGTCTCTGGTTACTGCGCTGTGGAGAGTAGTAGCATTGAAAGAGGAAAAAAATAAATTAAACAAATATCATGGACCACCCCCAATCCGCTCCCAGCCCAACGTGTCAAAAAGTTACTCAAAGGGCTTTTTCATACAAGGTTAAAAGAGTTAGCATAGTTTAAGACAGGGGTGTCCAAACATTTTAGTAAGAGGGCCACTTTAGTTCACCAGACAAGTCCAGGGGCCGACGTCACAAATCGAAAATCTGTCTTGACTGGCATCGGGCTGTTCTGAGCTTTAAAATGATCTATAACGGAGCTGAAGTTGGCTGAATGACACATGTTTACCATCTCACCAGCTACAGTAGCATCATTAACAGAAGTTTCTGAAAGAATCAAAAACTACGTCAGCTTAGAATGTACAAACAAAGTAACAACTGAATTCCAAATGTACTGGGCATTAGAACAAGGTCTCTATTGGCTGAGCTGAAGTTGGATGGATGACACTGTGAACTTGTGTTTATGATGCCCTGGTTTAAGATGATGAAGACAGTGCGGTGGTCACTTACTGTGTTGGCTTAAATTCTATGGGGAAACAATTTAAAAGAAAGGCCACCCCAGTTTTAGTTTAGTTGGAGACTTTTTGAACGCAAGTATAATATTTGAACAGTCACGACACTCACCCAAAAAACATTTTTTCTTTTCAATTATTCAGACTTTATTTATGAGAGTTAAGCGCATTAGGATAGGTGGAGTCGGGGTTAAAATAGACAATTTAATGAAGTTTAAGTTCAGCAGGTGATCATTATTTATACATCAGTCTCTGTAATGCTCATTCTCGTTCGCTAATTGCCAAAGTGTGATGTGAATATTTACTGAGTGCAAAAGGGAACGTGAGTTAAATATTGTTTCATTTTTAAGATACTTCTGGTGTAAAGTCCATCATTCACAATATGATTTCCCACAATTTCAAACAGTACAAACTAGTAAAATGAATTAGGTTGAGATTGTGAGGGAACTGCTTCTCCATATGTCTCCAACTGTCAAGTGTGCTGATATTAATTTCCGTCCGTCCGTCCGTTTTCCTCCGCTTCATCCGTTGCCGGGTCGCGGGGGAAGCAGTCTAAGCAGAGACGCCCAGACTTCCCTATTCGCACCCAATTCCTCCAGCTCGTCCGGGGGGACCCCAAGGCGTTCCCAGGCCAGCTGAGAGACATAGTCCCTCCAGCGTGTCCTGGGTCTTCCCCGGGGCCTCCTCCCAGTGGGACGTGCCCGGAACATCTCCCCAGGGAGGCGTCCAGAAGGCATCCGGAACAGATGCCCGAGCCACCTCAACTGGTTCCTCTCGACATGGAGTAGCAGCGGCTCTACTCCGAGCTCCTCCCGTGTGACC